TTTTTTTTGAGACCGGGTCTCACTACGTAGTTGAGACTGACCTGGAACTCACTATGTAGCCCAGGCTGGACTCGAACTCACAGCGATCCCCCTGCCTCAGCCTCCCGAGTGCTAGGATTATAGGAGTGAGCCACCACGCCTGGTTGTATGCCTGCATTTTTTGAACCCAAAACAAAACAACAACAAAATCAGAGCATAGAGTCTAACAAAGGTCTTTTTCTTTTTTTACGATTTGTGAATGAACTAATATAAGATCTGACTGAGGGCCAAAGACTAAGCCACACTGAATGACTGGCCAACAAGAGCACCATGGTTAGAAAGGCTCCTGCAGAGCCCGGCCCAGCGCCATACATCTGTGTGACTTGGGCTGAGTTTTTGAATTGTTGGGGCCGAAGCAATCATGATAAGACAGTCATGGGGGGCTTTGCGGGCTCCCGGTGCTGAGCCCACAGTGATGTCGCTCCTGGGTTAATGATGCCCTCCTGGGTGCCTGGGATCCTTGCTCAGTCGGCCACACGGGTCCAGGGCGGGCCTGTGGCCAGGAACTCAGGTCAGGCAGACCAAATGGCAGCAGAGCCCTCCAAACACCAGGCCAAAGACGACGCTTGGTCCTGGCCTGACTCGGGAAGGTCCCTCAGACACAGCCCTCCTTCCTCGGGCCAGGACCAGAGCCACACACCAGCATTTCATGCCCGTCACCCAGCTGCACACTTTAGAAACGCTCAGAGCCCCCTTCCGCACCACCCCCGGCAGAAACAGAAGATCCCTCTCACACCTACACACGTCATTTGGGTTTCATACAACCCCGGGTCCCCGGAGTGCCACTGAGGCACTCGGGAAAGCAGCACAAGTTCTTGGGGCTCTCAGACCTCCTGGCTGAGAAGAAGAATATTAGGGGAAATAAACCAGGAAACTCCACTTGGCAAAAGTGGCCCAGGGTTATGCATGGCGTGGCGGTCCACGTCTGTAATCCCAGCACTTGGGAGGCTGCGGCAGGACGATCACCCCGAGTTCAAGCCCAGCCTGGGCTACACAGGAGCAGTAAAGGGGCTTCTCTTTTCAGCTGTGCTGCTTTACTTAAAAACGAAAAGAGATAGTTTGCAGACATGACAAAATGTCCACAGTGGTTAGATCTGGGTGGCAGGAGCCCATGCTCTGGCTCATACCAGATGATGGGTTTGTTTTTACATTCTTGCTCCACAGGAACAAAACTGGGGAACACTGGTATTTTGTTTTGTTTTGTTGAGACAGGCTCTCACTGTGTAGACCAGGCTGGCCTCAAACTCACAGGGATTGTCCTACCTCAGCCTCCCAAGTGCCGGCACTACAGGTATGTGCCACCATGCCCGGCCTAGACTGGTGTTATGGTCCCAGAGTCCCATGGTTTTTGGAGATAGTAATTTATCAGGGGGCTGCTATCCTCACATTGAATCCATTGATGAGTTCACAGCTGAAGGTGCTGTTCAGATGGAGGTGGTGTCAGGGGTGTGACCCAGAAGGGTGTGTTCTTATGCTCAACTCCACCCTCCTCTCTCTACTTCCTGGCCCCCATGGGGTGAGCAGCTTTGCTCCGCCAGGCCCTTCCACTTCACCACTTCCGCTTTGGAGCCAGTCAAGCGTGGACTGAACCCTCTGAAACTCTGAACCAAGCAAGCCTCTCCTCTTTTATTCTTTTATTTAAATTTTTTTATCTTTGAATCCCAATCACTCCGAAAGCATTTTTTAAAAGCCCAAGGAGTATCCTTACCAGCCATCAACAGTCGGAGGTCTCTTGTTCTGGACGTGTCTGAGGGCACAGAGACATTCTGCAGCTTTCCTGTGTCTTTGATAACCCTTCCCCAGGATCGGACAACCGCACCACCGGACAGTGAATTGAAGCTTCTCCTTTCAGCACACCACTCTTTAAATGTTTTTCCAGTCCCCTTCATATTTGTATACCTTCCCTCAAGTGTCTCATTTTTCCTTCTTCTGGCCCTTCCACAACTTTCACCTTAAACCCGACACCATGTAGAATGAGATTTCTCTCAATGATTTCTTTCAAAAATGCATTCTGGATGACACATTAATCCCGTTCATCTAGCATGATCTTTCTCAACCTTCCCTTCCCCTTCTCTGTCCTTAGTCCTCCCCTTCCAATGCTCATTTTCTCTCCGCTTTTAGCTCTCTACAGATTGTGGTCCCATATTTTCTTTTGTGGTACCGGGGATCGAACTCTGGACCTTGTGCTTGCGAGGTAGGCGGCGGCACCACTGAGCTAAATCCCTGGCCCAGTCCCCTATTTTCTTCGTGCCCTCTAATGCCCATTTCTACCTACCTCAGGTCATCCCGAAAACCCTCTCTTCCCTGCCTCTCTGGCCACTGCGGCCCTCTGAGATCCTTTAGATTCTGCTGCAAGCACTCCTCACACCCTGCCACGATCCCCTAAACTGGTCTCCCCCTGAAGACCCCGAGGGTCCCTCTCCCCATTCCCAGACCCTCCCAGGTCTCCAGGAGCCTTCGGAGCCTCTCCTTCCGGCTGAAGTTTGCAGACATCGCCACCCCCGGTGCCCTTAACGCCTGCACCCCGCTTGGCCCGGCCCTCCGACCTGCCTCT